GAGTTAGCGACTATGCTTCATCGTCCTCATCGCCTCGCCTCGGCTCCCGCGTGATTCAATGTTGTCGCCGGTCAGCCTTCCATTGATGAAGGACTGGTGGCGCAATGATGGCGAGCCACCGCCGCGCGTCCCTGCCCTTTCCCCCGCACGTCCCGCCCTTTCCTGCCATGCATATACACCGCTCCCGCCCTCTCGCCGCTATAAAAGCCGACCTTCGCCGCCGCTCGCCGCACACTCGCCATCTCTTAGCTTACACCGTTCCAACGCCGACCATGTTTCTTCTCCTCACCTTTCTCGCCCAAAAAAGCCGACCTTCACCGCCGCTCGCCGCACACTCGCCATGGCAGAGAGGATTCCCGGCGACGGGGCGGCGGCCAATGGCTTCAGCCGCCACTGGCTGCACGAGTGGGAAGCTCGCCTGCTGCAGGAGGCGAACTACCTGACGCCGTCCGACATGAGCGTACTGGGTGCATGGCGGCTAAGCGCCGGCGGCGTCCCCGTGCCTCCGCCGCCCTCCGACGCGGAACGCCCTGCCGAGATCGAGGCGATTCGGGCCAACCTGCTGGAGTACACGCGCCAAGAATCACATACTTCCAGCGGCGTCACGCCGAGTAGCTGGCGTCTACCAACGGCGGCCCGACACCGAGGGGGCGCCACAACTCGGAGGGTCGCTGTCAATGGTGGGGCGCGCCCAGGTGAACTCTCCGCCGTGCTCGCGCACATCGAGGAAGGCAACGAGCCATGGCTGGAGTACCCAGCGACATCCTTCTCTCGCCGCCGCGGAAGCTTCTTGTTGCCGAGGTGCATGGACCCGTCGTCCTCTGGCTCCGGGTCCTCCGGGTCGGCGTCGGCGGCACTCGTCCCCGTCAAGCCCGAGCCGCAGGAGACACCACTCCGTCGGTGCAGCCGTGGCCACATCCCTTCCCCTCCCCACGGCCACATTCGCCTGGCGAAGCCGAAGGAGCCGGCGACCGTGGTGAAGCAGGAGCACGAGGACAAGGCCGCCGACCTCGAGAGCGATCTCGCCTAGTAGCGCGCAGACTACGATTCATAGGAGATGGAGCACCAGCGCCGTGCTCTGGAAGAAACGTCGAGCGGCACCGCGGCCGCGACGAGGGCGGCGTCATCATGCCCTCCGACGGCGACGACGAGGTCACTACGCCGAGCAAGCCATTCCGCAGCGACGATCCAGGGCAGGGCTGCAGTTAGGCCGCCCCGAAGGACGGGCCGTCGAGCGACGGCGGCGACGAGTACACCGTCTTCTACAACCTCCTCGGCATGAACTAGGCGTAGTTTTTTATGTGTTTGTCTATTTTTTGGCAAATATCAATGAAATCACTTATATTTCGTCCAAATTGACTGAATTTCGTCGAGTTTGGTCGTTTAAAAAAAATTTGGCCTTCTACCGTTGCGTTCGCGGCTGGGAATCAATCCCCGAACGGCTGGAGATGCTCTTAGTTCCACATTGCTAGTGGAGATTGAGAAACACGTGTTGTTCTACTCCTACTGTAGCATGACAAAGAGAGAGCAACAACGGAGTGCTCACCGAGTTTGAACTAGTAGTATGCAGCTTGTTGGAAGATTATTTTTAAGCGAGTTTGGACTCCTACAGTATGGCATTTAGGGAGTTTAAGCGACTGAGTTGAAATGGTCTTATTTGGATTCCTTAATTCATGCATCATGTAGTTTGGACTCCAACTTCCAACCCCCACCAGCAAGTGGTGCCTTGCATACGTCTTTACAGAGTACAGTAGAACATAAATATGAAAAATTGTCCGTTTGACCATAATGTAATTTGACTATCTCAAAGTTGAGTTGGAAGGATAATCTAAACTGATGCTTGATTGGCTGAAGGCCTGGTTGATTATTCAACACAAGGCCGCCTTCATTAGGTGCTGCAGCTCTACAGAATTATTCTCAGACCGACTCGCAAGCCCTTCAGTGCCTTAAACTCCATCCCCGGGTGTCGCGGGAGGACGACCACCCGCGCATTGCAGCTCTCAAGTGAGTTCTCCATTGCCTTCTTGTTCCACGAGCTTGATCAGTCGTCAGTCCGTTCCTCGACTAAACTGTCAAAGCGTGTGCGATAGACATTACATGTCTCCTCAGGCTCTGGGCACTCTCAGTTCCTCACTTCCCCTGGTCCTTGTCCTCTGCTCCCTTGTTTATGCATCTTCATTAGATGCTATAGCACCCCAAAATGATTCTAACACCGACCTCCATGCTCTCCGCTGCCTTAAACTCCATCTCACGACCTCTGCTGGACTCCTGGCCTCATGGAAAAATGACTCGTTGCAGTTCTGCAGTTGGCCCGGTGTTACTTGCAGCAAGAGACACGCATCTCGTGTCATTGCACTGGACCTCGAGTCACTTGACCTCGATGGACAGATACCACCATGTATTGGCAATCTCACTTTCCTCACAAAAATCCACATCCCCAACAATCAACTTACTGGCCAAATCCCACCTGAACTTGGGCAACTAAATAGACTGCGGTACCTTAACCTCAGCACAAACAATCTTACTGGCACGATCCTAAGCACTCTGTCTTCATGCTTTCACCTTCAAATTATTGATCTTGGGAGCAACTCCCTTGATGGTGTGATTCCCCCAAGCCTGAGCCAATGCTCCGATATGGAGCAGCTCAGTTTGGGTCACAACAAGCTAAGTGGAGGTATCCCAGAAGGGTTGGGGATGCTCCGAAACCTTGCAGTTTTACGTCTTGCTACAAATAGTCTGACGGGCAGCATTCCGCGTTCACTTGGAAGCAGCTCTTCTCTTCACTCTGTTGTTCTCACGAACAATAGCCTCACAGGACCTATCCCGACTCTCCTAGCTAATAGTTCATCACTACAACTTTTGGCCTTATCAAACAATCACCTGAGTGGAGAGATTCCTCCTGCACTGTTTAACAGTACATCACTTCAAAAGTTATTACTGGGAACAAATAGCTTTGCTGGGTCCATACCAGCCTTGTTGAACATTGACTCACCCTTGCAGTATCTTATCTTGCAATCAAATAATCTTTCTGGCACCATACCTTCCTCTATAGGGAACTTTTCCTCCCTTCGATGGCTCTTGCTTGGAGATAATAATTTCCAGGGTAACATCCCCATGAGTATAGATGAAATTCGAAACCTGGAAATACTAGACATCACTTATAACTTTTTGACAGGGAGTGTCCCAGCCTCTCTTTACAACATGTCAGCACTCACATACCTTGGCATGGCTACAAATAATCTTGTAGGGGAGCTTCCATACAACATCGGATACACTCTTCCAAGCATCCAAACTTTGATTATGCAAGGAAACCAGTTCCAAGGCCAAATCCCCACTTCACTGGCAAACACAACCAATCTCCAGGTGATCAACCTCCGCAATAATGCATTCTGTGGCAGCATTCCATCTTTTGGGACTTTACCCAGCCTAGTTGATCTGAATCTAGGCAAGAATCAACTTGAAGCGGGAGACTGGTCTTTCCTATCCTCGTTGACAAATTGCACACAACTGGTGAACTTACGCTTGGATGCAAACACCCTTCAAGGAGTCTTGCCGAGTGCCGTTGCAGGCCTTTCAAAGAGCATAGAGGTACTGTTACTAAGATCAAATAAAATTTCTGGCACCATACCACATGAGATAGAGGACGTGGGCATAGCCCAGTGGTTGGGGGCGCATGATTGTAAACCCAACGACCAGAGTTCGATCCACGTCGGGGACGAATTTCTGGAATTCTCATGAGGGATGCTTCTTCTATATCAATAAACCGTGGGTGCTAGTGCCCATGGAGTTTCATTTTTTTTTTTCATACCACATGAGATAGAGCACCTCACAGGCCTCAAGCTTCTTTACATGGAACGAAATTTTCTTACCGGGAATCTTCCTGAATCACTTGGAAATCTTCCCAACTTGTTTGTCTTAAGCTTGTCCCAAAACAATTTTTCCGGACAGATCCCACTCTCAGTTGGTAATTTGAGTCAATTGAGTGAGCTTTATTTACAAGAAAACAACTTGAGTGGCCCAATTCCAGGAGCTTTAGGAGACTGCAAAAGTTTGCACGTATTGAACCTTTCTTGTAACAGCTTCGACGGTAGCATACCAAAGGAGCTCTTTACTCTTTCCACCCTTTCCGAAGGTTTGGACTTGTCTCACAACCAACTCTCTGGAGAAATACCAATGGAGATTGGCAACTTGATCAATCTCGGTCCACTGAATATTTCCAATAACCAACTGTCTGGTCAAATACCCTCTACTCTGGGTCAGTGCGTCCAATTGGAGTCGCTCCACATGGAGGGCAACCTTCTTCATGGAAGAATCCCTCAGACTTTCGTGAATTTGAGAGGCATCACTGTGATGGACCTATCTCAGAACAACTTAACAGGTGAAATCCCTGAATTCTTGAAGCTCTTCAAGTCTATGAAGGTTCTCAATTTGTCCTTCAACAACCTCGAAGGATCAGTACCTGCAGATGGAATATTTCAGAATGGAAGCAATGTGTTCATTCAAGGAAACAAGAAGCTATGTGCCAGCACCCCATTGCTACAGTTGCCACTTTGCAATGCAGAGACATCCAAACAAAGGCACACCTCCAACATCTTAAAGATAGTAGGATTTACTGCTCTTTTTTTGGTCCTGGTATCATGCTTCGGAGTAATTATTTGGAAAAAGAGAAAGAAAGTCACACAAGCAGCTCATCCATCCTTTGAAGAGTTACCGAAGTTTACATATGCTGATTTATTGAAAGGAACAAATGGTTTCTCTTTAGCCAACTTGGTTGGTTCAGGAAAATATGGGTCCGTGTACAAAGGTAGAATTGAGTCCGAAGTACATGAAGTTGCTATCAAAGTTTTCAAACTTGATCAACTTGGAGCAACAAAGAGCTTCCTCGATGAGTGTGAGGCCCTGAGAAACACTCGTCATCGTAATCTTGTACGGGTGATCACTGTATGCTCAACAAGTGATCCAACAGGAAATGAGTTCAAAGCTCTTGTTCTTGAATATAAGGTAAATGGCGACCTCGAAAGTTGGCTCTATCCAACAATCCACGAGCATCACCTGAGAAGGCCATTGAGTTTATATTCAAGAATAGCAATAGCAGTGGACATAGCGACTGCTTTGGATTACCTTCATAACAACTGCATGCCTCCTATGGTCCATTGTGATCTGAAGCCCAGCAATGTCCTTCTAAATGATGTCATGGGTGCATGTGTTGGTGACTTCGGATTGGCTAAGTTCCTACACAATTATTCTTATTCGAGCATTGGTGGTTCTACAAGCTTAGTGGGACCAAGAGGATCAGTTGGATACATTGCACCAGGTAACAATTTCTCAACTGAGCATGGTACATTTTTCGAGAATAACTTGTAGGCTCTTCCGGATATGAAAATTTTACTTTCTTTTCCACAGAAAACCTTTGATTCATGTGGTCAAATTATGTTGTACTCTCTTTGTAAATTAATATAAGAGCATTTACATAACTAAAGTAGTGATCTAAACGCTCTTAAATTAGTTTACGGAGGGAGTATTAATTAACGGTTTCAATAACTACACATATTGCAGAATATGGCTTTGGGAGCAAAATCTCCACTGAGGGTGATGTCTACAGTTTTGGAGTCATCATCTTAGAAATGCTCACAGGAAAGCGTCCAACTGATGAGATATTTAAAGATGGTCTGAGCCTTTACAAATTTGTCGAAAAATCATCTCCAGAAAAGATTGGCGAGATTCTAGATCCTGGAATCACTCCGTATTACGGGGACCAAGATGAAGAGGCAGGAGGTACTTTAGACCAAGAAAACCATCATCAAATGGCTGGAATAATGAGGTGCATCATCGAGCTCGTTAAGATTGGCCTCCTGTGCGCCGCCGAGGTACCTAAAGATCGTCCTGCAATGCAGGACGTTTACATTGAGGTCATCGCAATCAAAGAAGCATTCTCAGCACTGCAGGGCTGAGCAGAAGTAGAACTGTTCCATTGCTCACACGTTGCTGCTTCATGACGGCTTACGTCTAGTTTGCTCTACATAAGTCTTTTTTTCTTTTTCTTGATTGCAGTCGCGTTATGTTGTGAATTGTCTTCCACTTTATTGGTAAATCTATGTATACTGGGGTTCAATCTGTATAGTAAATAAAGTTCACGACAGGAATTTTCGTTTGGTCTTGCTAATTTCTATGCCTCCCTGCACCTAACAATGTAGAGTAATACTCGTATACTACAAGTACTTTAAGCCCGACTATATGAAGTAATCAACACCCTGGAGATGTTAAACTTGCATAGTGGTATGCCAAACCAAATTGTTAGACCTGAAAGTTGGAATGCGTGTGCATCGGTATCGCATTGTTTCTTACACAAATCAAAGACCAGCTTACCTCGGCCAAGGAGGGGCGGGGGATGCGGTGGAAGGATTCCGACTGCCACTGAGTGCCTCGGCGCGGCGGACGGACGCGCGCGTGGCCCTTGCCCCGTCTCGTTGGTGGCAGGTGGGGGGCGCCGGCGGGGGTTTGGTGGTTCTCCTACGACGAGCGAAATCCATGTTGTCCGGCGGGGCAAATCCTATATGACGCCCGCGGGCGTCATAGAGGCGAGGCTTCGCTGAAGGCGTCCCACCCGATGTCTCAGTTTGGGCCGGCCCACAGTAGGCTTCTTTGTTTCTTTCTCTTATATGTTTCTTTTCTTTTCTTTTTCTTTCTTTTTTCTTTTCCTGTTTCTGTTTATTTTCTTTGCTTTTGCTTTTTCTTTTTCTTTTTTCTTTTTTCGTGCATCACACAAAAATTTATTGTCTATTACAAATATTCATCGTGTACCCCGCAAAAAAAATGTTCATCATGTACTAAGAAAATATTTACGGTATATAACAAAAAGATTCACCATGCATTATAAAATGTTCATCATATATTAAGAATTTGTTCAATGATTACAACAAATGTCCAGTGTGTATTTAATGTATATTTTCAGCGTATATTACACAAAATTTTCAATGTGTATTCGAAAATTGTTCAACGTACATTACATAAGTGTTCAACACGTATTCAAAAATTGTTCACCGTACATTACAAAATGTTCAAGGCATATCTGAAAATTGTTCAACATACATTAAAAAATGTTCAATGTGTATTTGAAGTTTTTTTCCGCGTACACATTCATATGATCAAAAAATCAAAAATAAAAAAAAACGAGAAAAAAATGGCGCTACAGTGAACCGAATGGTACAGTATCATCAAGCTACAGCGTTCCACCATTATGTTTTATTAGTTGACTGAAAATGGGCCGGCCCAGTTGGACGGACCCTGTGCGAAGCCAGTGCTTCTTGACGCACACGGGCGTCAGACAGGGACTCCCGTCCGGCGGTGGTCCGGAGGTTGGGGGCCCTTTTTGCCAGAAACGGTTGGGGGCTCTTGGACCTGGCAATCCGGACCGAAAACCCGGGCCGGCCCGCGAGCACGCCGGCATGGTCCATCATGGGCCAGGCACAGCACGGGCTAAACAGATGGTGCCTAGGCCTGAAAGCTGGGCACGTGGCCGAAACGAAATGGCCCATTTCCTTTGTGAAATATATATATATATATATATATACCTAAAATACAAGTTAATAGGCCTAAAAACGATCCCAACAGGCGGAAAATATATGCAGCCCAGCGTGCTAAACGGGCCAATGTACTGGTCCGTTTACTAACCAGGTCGTGCATGAGCCTAGATGCGTCGCTTACTAACCATGCCCCCGTGGGCCGTGCCGTGCCTGGCACGATTAGCACGAGTCGTGTTGTGCCGGGCCAGTCCGTTTGGCCAGCTCTGGGCGAGGCCAGCATGCCATGCACGACACTACCCGTTTAGTAGCGAGGCACGTCACAGACACTATATCTCGCTTGTTTCTTTCTTGGTTTTTTTATTTTATTTAGTTTTCCTTTAATTTTTTTACTTCAGGGTTTTCTTTTTTCTTATTTTCCTTTATTCACATGATTTTCTCTGGTTTTCTCATTTTATTTTTTATTTTTCTTCCGTTTGCTTTTTTTCTTCCCTGGTTTTCCTTTTTCTTTTATTATACTTTGGTTTTTCTTTTTCTTTCTTTGTACTGCTTTCATCCGTATTCTTTTTTAACCCATGTATACTTTTTGTCAGTATGAAGTGTACACATGAAATATATTTTTATGCACATTGTACATTTTTTAAATACATGATATATATTTATTCTCAAAAACATGATTTGAAAACTTTTTCCAACTAAAGGTCAATAAAAATCAAAACATGTTGACATTATTTAAGGAAAAACATTTTTTAATGAGAAAAGTTTTTTACGTCGCATAAACATTAATAACAATCATGAACTTTTTTTGGAAACACGTGAATATTTCCTTTAAAGTGTCATAAACACTTTTCTAAACTACATGAACATTTTTTACGGTGTATAAAAAATTAATCTGTCAAAAACAATTTTGTTTTTGAAATGCAAGAATATTTATTTGTTTAAAATGTCATCTACGTTTCTTTTAATGGTACAAAACATTTGGTATACTATGTGAACATCTTTTGTATATTGTATACATATTTTTAAAAATTCCACATATTTTTTTGAAACACGAAAACATTTTTCATTGTTACGAGCATTTTTGTAAACTATCAACATTTTTTGAATTGTGCTAACATTTTTTATGTTTTGTTAACATTTTTTAAATTCAATTTTTAAAATAAGTGAATTTAATTTTTCAAAATATATGCAATTAATATAAAATAAAAGGAAGAAAAGAAGAAAAAATGATATTAGCAAACCCACGTCCTATTGGGCCGGCCCACCCCCGGCTTCTTGTAGGAGCTGCGCGGGCTGCCTTAGGCCTCGCTATAAGCGAGGCATAGACACGCCCGAGGCACGTGGCGCCCGGGGAGGGGAGCGAGGCATACGACCAATTTAGGTTGGGGTCCTTTGTTGCACGTCTAGGGTCCGGTTTAGCCTATTTAGGCAGAATTTTTAAAACGCTCGCAACCCATAAAAGCCATGCGAATCTCGGGCCCGCCCGTTTGGTTAATGAGTCATGCCTGTCCCTGGAGGCGATGACTGTGTGTCAGCATGACATGGCCCTCTTATAAACGAGCCTTTGTGTGCCATATCATGCCATGCTCGTTTATGGGCGGGTTGGGCCATGTCGTTCTCGGGCCAGGGCGTTGGTCACCTCTGATGTGCAACGAGCGACGTGG